ACTTTTAATTTAGTATTGTGTGACACATGCAATATTTTATGATTGAGAATTTTAATGAGTTGGTATAACATTATTTGTGATTAAAAATTTAGAATTATTTGTGATTAATATCAAAATTAACTGAAATGATTAACGGCATATACAAAGTTAACAATTGACGGTTAATACCAGTTGTTCGGGGTGAGTCTTGGTTTAAAGACTTTACGGAATTAAGGGCTGACGGTTAACACCGGTTGTTCAGGGTGAGCCCTGGTTTTGAGAATTCTCACGTAAATTGTGTTGCGAAACTCTAAGATGGCACGGGACTTATTTTGAACCCTTTTCGGTATTCGGTTTTGGAATAAGGGTGGATGTGCAGGTGGCACACAGGGAGGTTGCTTACCCCTGGCAGACCGTTTCCTTGGGGCAGACCACGGATGCCACTACTTGGGTATATAACTCCGGACGTGGGCATCCCTGGTAGTTACGGTTGGTAACACTTAAATATTTAACCAAGGGAGGGTTTCAAATTAACCGTTGCCATGCTTAGTGGTTGGTTTTCTCTTTGGTGAGATTTCGAGTGTCACCTATAATTTAAAATTACTGAAACTATTCTAATGGTTGTAATTTCTATGTATAATTATTTGTTATCTCATGTTTAGAATATTATTATTTGTCTCTTTAAAAAGAATGGTAGGTTGGTTACGTTTTCTTACTGTGTTGCAAAACTCATGGCATATATTTTGTTGCCCTGGCGTTTCATGCCAGATTATGTTGAAGAAGGGACTGAGGCTGAAAATTGAGCTGCTGCCAATATCGAACCTTGGCTGACTTAGAGTCAAGATTTTGTCAGAATAAAATCCTGTTATCCCTTGTATAGGATTAAACTATGTTGTGACGTTGTGTGTGAACTCATAGTTTTATTTTGTCGTTGGACTTTGGCTTTGTAAGAACTTAAAAGTTCCTAACTAGTAGTTAAAATTTTATCTAGCAAGATTATTGTTATTTAAAATCTTATGACGTTTCAAAAAAAAAAAATTTTGGGGCGTCACAGGATGTCTGTTTTCATGAACATATTTTTCCCTATCAAGGGACTTCTTCTCCGCTACACCACACTTTTATCCAATTCTATTGACCCACTTAGCCCCGATATACCAACCCCTTCACCAGCTATAATCTATCCCTCCACCAATTCCATAATCAATTTCTCATCCGATCAATCTGCTAATACACCACCAATCATTCAACCGCTTACAGTACCAGACTCACTCCCTTACTACTACTTCCACCCCAACCAATGCTCTTCGTCACTCAACCAAACCTCGTACCCAACTTGCGTGGCATGCTGATTATCAAATGCACTTTGCCCATATTACTTCCTCACTATCATTCCCATGTCGAACCCAAGGTACAAGGCACCCTCTCTCTAATTCTCTCTCTTATTCATGTCTTTCTCCTGCTAATTATTCTTTTCTTACTTTTATTTCTGGTTGTCTTGAGCCTACTAACTATGATCAGGCAATTCTTGACCCGAAATGGATGGATGTTATGCATGCTGAACTTGATGCCCTTGCTCGCAATAATACTTGGTCTATTGTTTCACCATCCCATTAGCTACAAATGGGTTTACAAGATCAAATACAACTCTAACAGGTCTATTGAACGTTACATGGCTCGCCTCGCTGCTAAAGGTTGGGGATACCTGCGTTATCAAAAAAAAAAAGAAAAAGAAAAAGGTTACACTCAAATTAAAGGAGTTGATTATTTGGAGACTTCCTCTCCTATTGCCAAACTCACCATTGTACGCTGTCTCTTAGTGGTGGTTGGTTCCCGCAATTAGATCCTTCATCAAATAGATGTTCATAATGCCTTTCTACAAGGCGACCTTGATAAGGTTGTCTATATGGCCATTCTTTATGGTGTTCGTCGATAGGGAGAGAATATGGTATGTCGGCTCAATAAGGCATTATACGGTTTAAAGCAAGCTTCTTGTAATTGGTTTTCCAAATTTTCTTATGCTATTCAAAAGGCAAGCTTCACTCAATCAAAGGCTGACTATTCTCTATTTACCAAATCCAAAGGTAACACATTCACTGCAGTACTTATTTATGTGCATGACATTCTTATCACTGGCAATAATGAATTGGTAATCAAGTCTTTCAAAGACTTCCTTTTCCAACAATTTCATATCAAAGATCTTGGAAATCGAAAATATTTTCTTGGCATTGAAGGCTCCCAGTCCAAAAAGGGAATTTTCATTTCCCTACGAAAATATGCATTGGATATTCTGAATGATGTGGAATTATTAGGATCTCGTCGTAATTCTTTCCTAATGAAGGCATATTTGAAATTGAATCCTGATGATGGTAATCCATCACATGATCCAACCAAATACAGAAGATTCGTTAGGAGATTGATTTACCTAACAGTAACAAGGCCAAATTTGGTATACTCTGTGCAAATCTTAAGTCAATTTATGCAGAATCCTCAAAAAACACATTGGGAAGTTGCTCTAAGAGTTTTACGTTTCATTAAAGGGAATCCTGATCAAGGATTATTCTTTCCTTCTTTCAATAATCCTACATTAAAGGCTTATTGTGATTCAGATTGGGCGGATTGTGAGACAACTCGACGGTTAATTACAGGATTTTGTGTATTTTTGGGCAATTCTTTGATTTCCAATAAAACAAAGAAACAAACCATTGTGGCTCGTTCTTTCATTGAAGCTGAATATCGAGCCATGGCAGCATCATGTTTGGAAATTACATGGATATGGCACATTTTGGAAGATCTCAAAGTTTCACAAAGTCAACCAACATCTTTATTTTGTGACAACCAGGCAGCTCTCCACATTGCAAAAAATCCCATCTTTCACGAACACACAAAATATATAGAGATTGATTGCCACATTGTTCGTGAAAAATTGTAAGCCGGAGTAATTATACCATCCTATGTTTAGTCAAGATCTCAACTTGCAAACATTATCACCAAACCTTTGGGAAAGGAACAATTTCAACATCTAAGTGGCAAGTTGGGACCTCATGATTTTCACTCTCCAACTTGAGAGGGAGTGTTAGAGGAAATTTTGTTGATTAAATTGATTGATTGAAGATCATTGATTACAGTGTAGGAATATTTTCTAAGTTTAGCTTCTTTCCTGATTTAACTTCTTTCTACATAATTTCCTACTTTAGCTCCTTAGTATAAAAAGAACTCTGTATCTTTGTAAAGAATATATAATATTGTTAAAAGATTTTCTTCATATTTTTTTTTGTTCTCCTAAAGTTGACAATCCTTGTCATGAACACTAACGTCATTAGCAATGGGTACTTCAACATCTGTACCCGCTCTTGCATGGAACTCGCTTGTCAATACTTTTTTAATTAAAAAAATTGTAAAAAAGAAAATATCACATTATACATATTAATAATTTTTTTTTGATCTCATAACTATCTATTTAATTAATAAATTAAATTTTTTTCACCTCACTGTAATGTTGCTTGCAATTTTTTTGTGGAGCACAAACTTTATAGTCCATTAGTGGCACATGCAATACTTTGCTTCGGAAACAAAAGAATAGAAAATAAAACAACCATAAATGATTAAACATGAAACAACATTTCATATATTTTCCGCCATACATGCAAACATGAAGCACCAAAGTCACAATATATTTTAAGGGTTTGGCTTTGGTCTAGTTTAAAATCGGACTGGACCGTACTGTTTGGTCCATGAGAGTCACAACGGGTTCCGTTTTGATAATCCAAACCGTTAATGTGTTGAACTCATCAAATACTATATACCGGTAAAAAATCATATTGATCGGATATCGACAGGTATGTGATCAAATCAGTTTTGTATAAAAAAAGGGCGGTGAACAAATTAACGGTTGACAAAAAAATATTTTGATCACATAACTATCGGTATCCGATCAATGTGATTTTTTACAGGCATATAATACTCAACGAGTTCTACATATTAAACGATTCAGATTATCAAAATGAGACCCGTGTTGGGCCTCCATAAGCCCAATAGTACGATCCAGTCTAATCTTCGACTGGACCAAAGCCAAACCCTTACTTTAATACTAATGCCTGAGCGCAGGGCCGGCCCGGGATGGGATAAGACAAGTCAGTCTGGTGCCTTGATCTCCCAAATTAGACTCCTTTGAAAAGTTGATTATTTTAATTAATTTTTAAATTTTTTGACTATTTTAATTTGATTAAAAAATTATATTAAAAAGTTTAATTTTTTTAGTTGATTTGATAATTATAAAAGAAAAAATAAAATAATTATAATTTAAATGTGACATTTCATTTTATTAAATATTTTAACTTATTTTGTCTTTATTGATTATTTAAGCCCTTAACTCTCTTCCAAATAGGGCCATTATATTAAAAGTTCAAATGGATCCATTTGTTTTTTACGCCCCCCAGGGGATTCTATTTAAACTCAAAATATGTCTCAATACGTCTAATTTAAATTCCTATTATATCCTAATATGAATTTACTAATAAGGATAACATATATTAAACACTAAAATAAATATTTTTTCTCTCATAGTATACCCTGATCAGTTACTCCTATTTAAATCTCTGTATTTTCTTTCCTAAGAGATCAAAGTTATTTCTTCTTCTTCTTCCTCCTCCTCCTCCTTCTCCCTCCAAAACTCCATTCCACCCTACCAAAACTCACCATCATCATCAACATCATTGTTTTTTTTAATTATTATTTTGAAATCCTAAACCCTAAAAGAAAATTTGAACAAAATCAAATAATGGATGAGAGTAATAATTAAAATAGTTTTTTGAAGCAACCCATTAAAAAGAAGGTAAGTATTCATATAAAGGGATTTTACAATTTTTGTAGAACACCATCAATTATTTTCTATATCGTTTTTTTGACAAAAATTAAAGGGCCTAGTTAGATTAATAATAATATATTATTAGAATTATTCTTATTTATAAGTTTGATTTTTACTTTTTCAAAAGTATTCTTGTAGATAATTTATAATGTAAAAGTTTTTTTTTTTCTATATTAAAAAGTTTTATAATGCTTATGCAAATTGAAATTTTTTTGAAATAATTTAATTTTTTTAGTTTGTTTATTATTTATTATTTGAATTTACTTTAAGGGTAATTTAAAAAAAATAAGGAAAATTTACCCATAAGTCCTAGTTTCTGAAAAGTTGAACCATTTAGTCCTAAAAATTTTCTTATGCTCCATTTAGTCCCATTTACACATCAATCTAATGTTTGAGACATTAATCTGATGTTTGAAATCTAATGTTCGAAACATTAATCTGATGTTTGAAACATTGTAATGGGACCTTTCAGTCTATAAGAAAATTTTTAAGACTAAACAGTGTATAAGTTATTAATTTGGGATTTATTGGTGCATCTCCCAAAAAATAATAAGATGTAATATGAGTATAATAAAATTTTAAATAATTAAACAGGATATACTTAGAAATTGAGAATATTTAATATTTTTTTAGGTATAAATAGAATCCCCGTTTTTTTCTGCTTCAGCCCAATCTAAGAGACCCCCAAGAAAATCATGTCTCGGCCCAATTTTAAATAAATGAAAAAAAAAAAAATTATCTATGCATGTATAAAGCAAAATGGTGAAGGATTCTATTTTACAACCCCCAAAAAAATTAGGGCAAATTACATATACCCCTTGAGATTTAGTAAAATTACAGATACTCCCTGAGGTTTGAGAAATTACAGATACCCCCTAGAGGTACTAGTTGCATAACAAATTAGGGGGCAAATTGTTATGAAAATATAAACCTCAGGGGGCAATTTGTTATGAAAATATAAACCTCAGGGGGTACCTGTAATTTTCGAAACCTCAGGAGGGTATCTGTAATTTAGCTAAATCTCGAGGGAGGTATATGTAATATGCCCAAAAAATTAGTACTCTCAAATTTTTAATACACTATACAATTATTTTAAATTTTAAATTCCTATCAGTACACTTTATAATTTTTCATAAATTACCTTGAAAGCACATCTAAATAAAAACAAAATCACCACATTTAGACTTACAATATCGAACAATATTATTTTATTCAGACTTTTAGAAAGTGAATTTATTCAGATCTAAAAATCTAAAAGTCAATGACATTAAACAAACTAAATATTTGTTTTTACACCAAAAAAAACACAAAAATTAAAAATTATACTTTGATATTTATATAAATACTTACCTTCTTCCTAATAGATTATTTAAAAAAATATTTATTATTATTATTCTCATTCATTGTTTAATTTAAATGATAATGATAAATTTTGATAAGGTGATTTGACATTTTAGAATGAAGTTAAAAAAAAAAAAATGAAACTAGAAAAATAAATAAATAATGAAGAATACATAATTAAAGTGTACCATGAGAATATTATTTTAAAATTTAATATATATTATCCTTATTAATAAATTTATATTAAAATATAATAAAAATTTTAATTTTAATTACACATACTTAATATTTTTTTTTATGTAAATAAAAAAAATCTTCTAAGAGCTCCAAATCCTCGTGCTAAAATTATAACTTTTTTAATTAACAAATATTAAAAATTAAAAAACATATAAAAAAATAAAATATTCACATTAATAAATCAATTTTTTCCATACACTATCTATTCAATTAAAAATTAATTTTGCATACATTAATTTTTTTTCAACCAAGCGTTTTTCCCATAATTTTTTTGGGAGGAAAAATCAAAGTTAGTGCCAACTACACACAATGCTTTACTTTTGCCAAAAATGTACTAGAAATCTTAATTATTATTATTATTATTATTATTTTTTTATTTTTATTTTTTATCAAATACCATATCTCGTAAAAAAAATTAATAAATTTTTTTATAACCCTAACATTGCTCTTATAAAATTAAAAAAACCAACCCCATACATAATTAAAACATGAAACTAGCATTTCATATAATTGCCACGATACATGAAACGTCAAGCAACAAAGTGGCACATTTATTTTAATATACTATCTTACAGGGTACATGAACACATCTACCACCACCACAATTTTCCTGTGGACTCTCATAAGGCACAGCTGCAGATCCACCAAATTCTTCACCTAACCCTCCCAGAGATTTTGAATTTTAGGCGATGACGAGGCTGATCGGTGGCGATGGAGAGAGGTAAATCTGTTTAGAGACAGATCAACAACAACCTCAACCTCACGCATTGTAGATTTGAGTTCTTCATCTTCATCGACGGCGATGACACTGCAGATCTGAGTTAGGGAAGGAGGCGGTGGTTCTGGTGGCGGAGCTGGATGTTCAACAACGGAGCTCTGTCAAGGACATCGATAGAAGACTTGAGGATAGAAGGGAGAGGGAAGGCGGCATCGAGACAGCTTGCCTGGAGTTTGTTAGAAGGGTAAATTGGTCTATTAAAAATTAATGGGACTTGAAGGAGCAAATAATTTTATGTAGGACTTAATGGATTATAAGTTCACAAAATGGGACTTGTATGTAAATGACCCAAAAATCAAGAAGTCATCCCAAACATACTAGTTTTTTTTACGTCATATTTTAGTCAAAAAGTCAAAAAATTATTAAAATAGTCTGTTTCCAAACAAGGCCTTAATTTTGGCCAAATTACAATTTATTTTGGTTCCAATTTTCACACTTTAATTTTTTTTAAAAATTGAATTTTTTTGAAGTGCTTGGGAAGAAAGTTGAGCTAAAATAATCTATTAAAAGACAAAATAGTTAAAATAGTCAATAAAACAAAATATCACATTCAATCTATAACTATTTCACTTTTTCTTTCACAATCATCAAATCAATGAAAAAAAAATCAATTATCTTCCCAAACACAATTATTTTAGCCATGCTAAAATAGTTAAAAAAATCAACTAAAATAGCCTACTTTTCAAACAAGGCAAATGATTTTTTTTTT